ATAAGGACACTTCACCCCTATATGGCACATGCCTTATATGACCTCATCCGTTTACACCTTCCCTATAAGGACACTTCTCCCCTCTATGGAATATGCCTTATATGACCTCATCCGTGTACACCTTCCCTATAAGGAAGCTCCACCCCTATGGAAGATGCCTTATATGACCTGAACCACGTGCACCTTCCTTATAAGGACACTTCACCCCTATATAGACCATCCAGACATATATAGCACATTATACCATATCACCCTATATAGACACTACTTCCATATAAAGCACAGAGGTCAATCCCAAAGGTCAAAGGTCACATTCCTTATATGGACCAGTCATCCGTATTTGGAAAGGTCAAAGGTCACAGCAAAGGTCAAAGGTCAAATGCCATCTTCCATATATGGACTATTCATCCTTATATGGCAGCTCAAAGGTCAAATGTCATCTGCCATATATGGACTATTCTTCCTTATTAGGCAGCCAGGGGTCAAAGGTCACTTTTGGATCAGAACCCCCACCGCACTATACTACTGTCGCCATTAATTTAAAGGTTTTACTGTATGTACGTCGTCAACCCCTAGGCGTCATTTTCAATATAGAAGTCTTTAACGCTGAATGGGTTTGGTGCGAAAATTCGACATTTTGATGTTCGACAAATGACCGAAGAACGGCAAACCGAGATTCGGAATGCAAACTCTCACTATTGTAGTACCTGCATCTACGCAATCCACACCAGTCCAAATGAACGCTGGGAAATGTTACGGAAGATAACTGAACGAAAACGTTCAGTACTAAAATTTCTTAGTGTTCATTTGGACTGATGTGGATTGCGCAGATACATGTACTACATGGAAAGATTGAATGATTGTGTAAAGATGCATGCCTGTGATGAAAGAACAGTACCAGGTAAGGACCGGCTCGCTGCAGGCTGCGTCGCACTGCCCGCCGAGGGAAAATCATCCAGCCCGTTCTGGGCCAATCACATACTGCCCACAGAGGTGGTACAAATTGGCGTCGTGGCCAGCAAACCGCCCGTCGAGGGCTAAACCAGCGCAAAGTCCACTGAGGGCACACAACATGCCACCAAAGCCAAAAATCCGCCTACAGAGGGTTAAATCATCTTACCCCCTGGGGGCCAGAAGTATACAGCTTATCGTGTGCACACAAATGGCCAACGAGGCAAGTACACTGCCCACCGTGGGCCTTCATCATCTTGCCTGCCGAGGGTACACGAACAGCCAGAAGGTTCACACAACTGCGTGGCATCACGCCTCACATCATACAGACAGAATAGGTGGACCATTTGACCCCCCCCCCCCCCCTCACCCCAAGCGGGGAAACAAAATGCCAAAGGAAAAGGGTGGAAAGGGAGGGACAATCTGCGTCTTGGCAAACTAACAGCGAAGTACGATCATTTCGCACCAAGACCGCTCGACAAGACATGTCTCCGAATTAGACACCTTACGTACGATTTTCCTTAAACCTTTGTCATGTCACACTATATTTGGACTTGTGTACATGTTAATCGGGCAGTCAATGGTTCAAATGCTCTTGGGGTGCTTCTGAGTAACAAGATGTGTACGTGGTATTGAATGTTTAACAGGTATCAGCTGTCCACAACCAGATTCACTTACCAATGGTAAATCCAGACATACAGGTGTGAGATACCAGGATACAGTAACTTATGAATGTGATACAGGATATTCCATGGTGGATCATCCAACTGGTACGCTGACAGCAACGTGTATGGCAAACAAGCGGTGGTCTTCTCGGACACCTTCATGTGAACGTAAGTGATGGACTATTATCACTCCTGCTGTTGCGTATCGGTTCTATTAGAAAGAAAGACTTTTCATAGCTCATTTTTGTTGTGGTCCTTTCGTATATTTTGGTTTGTTTTGCGTTCTCCTTTTGACTCTGTTGGACTGTTTCGGTTGCATGTGTAGTTTTTAAATGAACCAAGGAACGCTTACGTTATTGTCATGCGTTATGTTTTGTTTGTGTGCATGCTCATATGCTGCCATCATGTTTGTCTTTTTCTTCAGTTTCCAGTTTACCTCGTCGTGTCCGGTCTTCTTGTTTGTCCGTCTCCGTCTTGTCGAATAGTTATGTAAAACTTTAGTTAAGTTTCGTTGTTGTGTGTGGCGGGTCGGATGGGCAGGGAGGCTGGGCCCCTGAGGCCTGGACAACATGTGCGGGTGCACAAAATTTGGCGATCATGCGATGATAATCAGGGAGACGAGGAACTGGTAGGAACTCCGGTGCGAAGGAAAATGCATAGAGAAGAAATAACCAAAACGACGTCATCTGAGCTGAAGGCGCTGAGCGAGGAAAAGTCTGCGAGGAGTGGCTGGTTCGTCGGAGCTGAATGCGCTGAGAGCAGATGAAGATGGATAAACATCTGCGAGGAGTTGCTGGTTCGTCGGAGCTGAATGCGCTGAGCGCAGGGACGTCCCGCGAGGTGGCTGGTCAAGATGAGGTTGGTGTGACGGTTCGTCGGAGCTGAATGCGCTGAGGGCAGATGAAGATGGATAAACGTCTGCAAGGAGAGGCTGGTTCCTATGACAAGGATGGGGCGAAGGAAAACGCATCGTGAACAAATAACCCAATGTGAGTGTGAAGCGGAGTTTGGAAGGTGCTCCTGCTGTGATGTGGTTGATTAGTTTGATTTGCTGTGATTTGTTGGTATTAGTCTGTTTTGCTCGATTTTTTTGATGAGTTTGATTTGTTTGTCCCTGGTCGGACGTTGATTTTCATTGTAGTTTGTTGGCGTATCGATTGTGTATTTGTTTCTATTTTGCCTCTTTTTAAGATTGATTAGTGCGCTTGCTGCGTATGGCACAGTGTTCGCGGTCCTCGTATACCTCGTAGAGCCCTGAAAAGGTCTTTGGTGGGGAATATGTTGCGTATCGGTTCTATTAGTAAGAAAGACTTTTCATGGCATAACGGTTTTTGCCTAGGTACGCTTCTATAGTTTTGAAATGGACTGTAGTTGGTATGTGGCAGCTGATGGGACAGAGAGACTTTTGCTCCCCGAGCTTGTGTATGTAAATAGTGTTTTCTGGTTTGAGGGAAAGAGACAAACGGGAAAAGTCTGAAGAAAAAATTGACTGTCACTATAAATAGTGTCATCAGCACACGAAGCACAGAAGCCATATAATTTCGACTAGGCCTTTCGTACCATTACTCTTCAAGTCGAATAGAATGGTGATTAACAAGGTAGCAAGCAAGTCCTTATAACCGGCACTTTGGCGGTCAGAGCATTGACAAAAATAGCACTTGAAAATAGCGCTAGTGGTGCCAACAACATATTTGGCGGTCAGAGCATAGACCAAATAGAACTTAAAAGATAGCGCTAGTGGTGCCAACTACACAGTGAGACAATGAATATTACCAGTATCAGACAACAGTGGGGACCACGGTACTACAATGTCAAAACAGTGACAACTTTCGCACATACTTCTTTTGGGCGCACAGTTCAGGCTTCAGCTTGGCAATGTACACTGCCTCCAGCACAGCAAGGTGAGAATTTTGCGCGAACGCGCTTGAATCGTGAAGTGAGAGTGGGTGCCATGTTTGCAGACTTCACTTAGGCAGGCTGGTGACGATGTCAGGTGACGGAGTATCGCCGAGTCCTTCTCATTATTGTCATTGTCCGTTGGTCCATTCCTGTGGTAGCTATTGTGCATCGCCGTTGTGCCGCTGGCGACTTCTCTGCCGGGCGAGGAGAAGGCCTAGTCGAAATGGCTTCTGTGCTTCGTGTGCTGATTTGCTTTCCTCCAACCAAAAACCTATCAAATAGTGTTTTACGTCGACCATGACGGCTCGCTTTGAATTGCAGAACGGCTGCTCCGATACGAACTCTAAAACCAGAATAATAATATTGGTTAGCATTCCGCGCACGCAGACGGCATGCAGGCAGGCATACATCATTAGCATTCCGCGCACACAGACGGCATGCAGACAGGCATACACCACACGAATAAGGCTAGGTTGTGTTGGGCAAGTACTGGTGACGAGGAACTGGTTGGTCTTTGCCGCAAGGTAGGCACGAGCCCGTGAGGCTGCGAGTGCCGCAGAAAGGCAGAAGCCTGGAGGCTGTGATTGCCGCAGGAAGGCAGAAGCCCGGAGGCTGCGATTGCCGCAATGGAAAGGCAGGACCATAAGGCCATAATGCCGCAATAGAAAGGCAGACCAGTTATGAGTGACTCGCCACCAGGTTTATTGTACTTGAAGTAGGAATGATGCAATGTAGTATTAATGGTTAGTGGTGGGATGGTGGGTCAGCAAAAGACAAAGGCAGCAGGATGCAAGTCGGGCATGAGCCAAAGCAGAGAAGACTCAAAACTGAGAATGGTAAGGAGATGTGCCACGTTGCGGACTCGGACCCGATCAAAACTGAATTAATTATTGTGATGGCGTACGCATAAATTAATGTGATGCACAGCAGGCAGTCTTGCCGGTCGCGGCAAGGCGCCCTAAACAAGTGCCGCGGCCAGAACCGTAGAGGGCGCTGTTGCGCAGCAGATACGTAGTTGCGAGATGTGCGCCTACGCTAAACTGAATTCATTACATGAATACATCATTAGCATTCCGCGCACGCAGACGGCATGCAGGCAGGCATACATCATTAGCATTCCACGCACACAGACGGCATGCAGACAGGCATGCACCACACGAATAAGGCTAGGTTGTGTTGGGCAAGTACTGGTGACGAGGAACTGGTTGGTCTTTGCCGCAAGGTAGTCACGAGCCCGTGAGGCTGCGAGTGCCGCAGAAAGGCAGAAGCCCGGAGGCCGTGATTGCCGCAGGAAGGCAGAAGCCCGGAGGCTGCGATTGCCGCAATGGAAAGGCAGGACCATAAGGCCATAATGCCGCAATAGAAAGGCAGACCAGTTATGAGTGACTCGCCATACCGCCAGTACATACCCATACACAACAGTATTGCAGTGCAGCATAGCATAGATCATTATGAGGGAATTGTGTGAATCGAGAAACATCGGTGTCAGGGAGATGATCTTACTGAGGATAGTTTGCTGGCCAGCGTTCGGGCCGATGACGGTGGTGTCCGGATGTAGCGTAGGCATGCATCACTGCGCCACCGCCCTGCGGAGCGGATCTGGTGGTCGGGGACGCCAGCAAGGGCAGCAGTGGTAGCGGCCCCGATACGGAAGCTGTGGCCTGCATAGTCCTGCCAGTTTGCCACGCCGCTGGTGCTAAGCAGCGTACGTACGTGGGCTGTAAAAGTGCTGCGGTTGAGGCGTTGCCCGTTGGCCAGGATGAACACAGCACTGCCTGGACGAGCAGAGGCGGTTGCAGTGAGGTAGGTGAGCATGGCTCTCACAGCGCAGTATGGCGGCACCGCTGGCCCAATCAGCACCGTCGTACCTTCCCCGGACGGGTCTGTCTTCGAGCGTGGTAGATGCGCATGGAGCATCCCTGACTCGAATGTCACACAGCCGCGCGTGGTAGGTGCTTCTAGCAGTTCACCGCATCTGAAGAAACCAAAGAACACGGCAAGCATAGCGGCATGCAGGCAGCGCTTGTCGTGAGGGCACATGGTTGGAGCAGCTAGGCAGGTGTCAACCAGACTGCAGAGAATAGGAAACGTGATTGGCAGCCTGGGGCGGACAGCGGCTACTCCATGGCAACGGCAAATACCGCGTACCACTCGCTTGAGGAAGTGCGCGCCCTCGGTCGGGTCGACATAACCGAGCTCCAGGTGCAGGTTCTTGATAGCACTGAGGGAAACCTTAATAGTCACTGGTCTGACCGACTGGGTTAGGGAGGCAGCAAAACTACTCAGCATTAGGTCTGAAGCGGGAAACGGGGACCATCTTTGAAGTTAGCAGAACTTGAGATACATAGATTCGCCGGCGGAATACGTTCGTCTGGTGTTGTCGGATAGAGCATGAGCAGCATACCGTGCTGCTAATTCGTCCGCGGCAGTTAGAATGACTGGAACAGGTCAGCTGTCGCCCGAGCTCCCGGAACCGCCTCGCGAAACGCCTGCATGTAAAAACGAGACAGAGCATCAGCGGCTTTGTTAGTGCATCCTGGAATATGCTTTGCTGACAGAATGAAGCCAAAGTTAGCGCACATGAAGAACAGCCGTCGTATCAGATCCATGACTGGGGGGGGGGGGGGGAGCAGCTACAACCATTGGACAGGCATGCCACTACAGCTTCGTTATCGCAGTACACGAGTATGCGGAGCTTGCGCCATTCAAGGCCCCAGGAGGAGCAAGCTGCGGCAATGGCGAACATCTCCTTCCACTCGATGGAGTAGTCGGCTTGTTCCGGCAACCACTGTCCCTGGATCCAGCGATGGCCATAACATGCGCCCCAGCCGATCGAACCGCTGGCATCAGCCCGACATGACTAGGCAATGACAGTTCGGTCAGCAAAAGACAAAGGCAGCAGGATGCAAGTCGGGCATGAGCCAAAGCAGAGAAGACTCAAAACTGAGAATGGCAAGGAGATGTGCCACGTTGCGGACTCGGACCCGATCAAAACTGAATTAATTATTGTGATGGCGTACGCATAAATTAATGTGATGCACAGCAGGCAGTCTTGCCGGTCGCGGAAAGGCGCGCTAAACAAGTGCCGCGGCCAAAACCGTAGAGGGCGCTGTTGCGCAGCAGATACGTAGTTGCGAGATGTGCGCCTACGCTAAACTGAATTCATTACATGAATACACCACTACAATTCCCAACCATACCACAACAAACTGATCGGCTACATCATTGTAATGCAAAAAGTTTCTATCTGTCCGAATAACATGCATGATGAGCTAAACAAAAAAGCATAGCATAGGGCCCTGAGCGAAATGAATAATTTTTTTCCTTGCATTCGAGGGTAGTACGACACCGTCTACCACCTTGATGACCTAGGCATAAAAGCATAGGGACGTTAAAAAAATTTCATTTCTCCTATTTTTTCTAGACATAGCCTAGGATTCAAACCCGCACTATTGCCGTGCATGCATTCCCCCGATACACTTCGCATACATACTCATTCTTCCAAGTTGCTTCACGTTATGATCTTGCATTTGAAAGCCCTATTTTATTGTGGCCAGCTGTCTTTGATGGTACGTAGAGGACAGGTACCGGATAGCGCCAGGCATATGGCGACGGCACACGGGACAGGTACGAGATAGCGCCAGGCATGCCGATGGCACAAATAAACAATCAAACAAACACGAAATTAAAGCTATGTGGACCCTGGCTAGCGCCAGACGTTACTGAAATAACGTATTTTGCATAGCTACGGGAATAATAATAATAATAATCGATTCAGTGATTGTGCAAAGATGCATACCTGTGACAAAATAGCAGTCCGCATAAGGACCGGCCCGCTGCGAGCTACGCCGCACTATCTGCCGACAGCTATATCATTCTGCCCTCTCTGGACTAACCTCATACTTCCCACCGAGGGCACACAAGGGGCCGCCTTGGCCAGCAAACCGCCCACCGAGGACCAAACCAGCTTAAGTTTTTTTTACCGTACTGTTTCTATGGTTGTAGCCAATGAGCGATGTTTCCGCGGTGGCCTTGATGAGCCGATAAAGCCAATCGTCAATGGATATGGAAAAAATACTGTAGCAATAAAGCCCGTCGTCAATGGCACCCCATACTCTGTCAGCCTAGCTCGGCAGGGGTCTATGGCAGTTTTTCGTTGTCAGCTCAGTTCGCATCTCACATTCGACTGTGAACATGCTCTGGTACCTGGAAACAGCCTGTCGAAAAACGGCAACATGAAAAGTGTCTACACATCGTGATCAGTTTCCAACTCAAGTTATGGTTGTCGCGAGTGGAGATGAACTTTTACGATAGTTTTGAATAAGCGAAAGAGAATTTACCTATCTATCTGTTCAGAAGCAAGCTGAAATAAGTGGCAGACATCACGATCAGTTTTCCATTTTTGTTCTACATGTATATGTACTAAAAAAGTAGTTGACGAGTTTAAACAACCGACGAGGAGACAACAGTCGTAAAACAGCAATGAAAAATATCAATTGTGCACTCATAACCATGTATAAAACAATTAAAATGAAACAATTCCAGAACGTTTTCTCGTGACTATCATCAGTGGAACATCGTCACATAGTAAGAATCACTAAAACAACCAGTTATATAGCTAGAATACTGTAAAATCCATATATATAACGAAGTGCTAACTCTAACGAGTTAACGAGGAGAAACCTGTCGTTAAAATAGAAATCGTTATACAGAAATCGATACATATACTGTCCTATTGAGCGTTGAGAATGAGTGAGAATCGTTACCTTTGGTACACGTAAACTAGTCACTTCTGGGAAATCGTTATATATGCGCCTTGTTAGAATAATGGCTTTTACAGTAATATGAAAGTCTGCCATCTACAAGCATTTGGTGTCCAGTTCGGATCGTTGTAAGTTGTTTGACGATTCCCGGTTTAGTGTTATTTGTTGCGCACGTTTCTTTAAGCAGTTGCAGGTGTTGGAAGCTGTTTATATTCGTACACGTGACCCTGTGCTATGCAAGCAAAAAGAAAATGTTGTAGCACTCACACTTTTCAAATAATACACACTCACCAGTAATGTCCACACGCACTCACAGCTGCCACATTCATCTACTGCTTCCACTCTCAGATCCACTGCATAAGTTCACACTGCACGCGTTATGCATAACCCCGAGCTGCTGCATTCTCACTCTTCTTTTCATATTATTCTAGCTATATAAAACTGGTTGCTTTAGTGATTCTTACTGTGTTACGATGTTCCACTAATGATAGTCACGAGAAACGTTCTGGAATTGTTTCATTTTAATTGTTTTATACATGGTTGTGAGTGCACAATTGATATATTTCATTGCTAGTTGACGAGTCGCCGGACCTTTCAGGTAATTTTGAGGAAGCGAAAGATCATGGACCTGCTCTGAAGCAAGGATCATCCCATTCGTGAGAAGTGAAAGGAGCTGAAACTCACAAGCTGAATCCACCACGTCCCCAACCACCACCCCTATTGGTGTCTTGCTTTTATACCAGAAACACGAAAGACAAAACCGGAAACACGATCATAGAGGTCTTGAAGGACTTTTTGCCTTCATCAATACCTCGTGCGTTCGGCCGTGGGCGCAGGCTTCGGCACTACGCACCTTGCGCCCTTGGCCGTACACACTCGGCCTTGGTTCAGCCATAAAGTCCTGCCAGATCTCTATGATTGTCTAAATACAGCCCACCAAGGGCACACAAAATGCCAGAGAGGCCAACAATCGGCCCACCGAGGGTCAATCATCTTTCCCGCTGGGGGCCGAAAGCATACAGATTGTCCTATGCACACAAACGGTCACCGAGGCCAGCAAACTGCCCACCGGTGGCCGGTATCATCTTTCCAGCGGAGGGTACACAAACAGCCACCGAAGTTTCACACAACTGCCTGGCATCACGCCTCACACCATACAGACAGAATAGGCTGCCCATCCTTCCCCCCCCCCCCCCCGAATGGAGAAACAAATGCCAAAGTAAAAGAGTGGGAGGGAGGGAAAACAGCGTCTTGACAAGCTAACTGCAAAAGTCCGCTCCTTTCGCACCAACACAGATCGACAAGACAAGTCTCCAAATTAGACGCCTTACCTACGATTGTCCGTAAACTTTCGTCACACTACACTTTATTTGGGCTTGTGTACATGTTAATCGGGCAGTAAAGGGTTCAAATGCTCTTGGGGTGCTTCTGAGTAACAAGATGTATACGTGGTATTGAATGTTTAACAGGTATCAGCTGTCCACAACCAGATTCACTTACCAATGGTAAATCCAGACGTACAGGTGTGAGATACCAGGATACAGTAACTTATGAATGTGATACAGGATATTCCATGGTGGATCATCCAACTCGTACTCTGACAGCAACGTGTATGGCAAACAAGCAGTGGTCTTCTCGGAAACCTTCATGTGAACGTAAGTGATGGACTATTATCACTCTTGCCGTCTCCTCATTCACTCTCCTTCTCCTCCCCCCCCCCCCCCCCGCCCACCCCCCAACCGCACTAAGCAACGAAGTACACCAAGTAACCATGTTTTAGCCCCAGCATCCGCAAACAAGCAAGCAGATCCAGGTGCACCCGCACACCCTCTGGGGCACTTGCATGCACACAGAGCCCCCCCCCCCACACACACACACATAGCCCCCCCCCCCCACACACACACACACAAACACACCACTAGTGTACCCATAGTCACGCTCACGGACACCCACACAGCGTTCCACTCACTTTAGCATGCATTAGCCCCATCCCTCACGCAAACAAGTCAACAAAGAGGCATCTTTGGATTGAGGAGTGCTGGTTTTGAAACAACTGGTTTGAAGCTCAAAGTAGAGCTGGTGTTAGCTCAGAGCAGAGCTGCTGTTAGCTCAGAGCAGAGCTGCTGTTAGCTCAAAGTAGAGCTGCTGTTAGCTCAAAGTAGAGCTGCGGTTAGCTCAAAGTAGAGCTGCGGTTAGCTCAAAGTAGAGCTGCTGTTAGCTCAAAGTAGAGCTGCGATTAGCTCAAAATAGAGCTGCTGTTAGCTCAAAGTAGAGCTGCTGTTAGCTCAAAGTAGAGCTGCTGTTAGCTCAAGGTAGAGCTGCTGTTAAGTGTTAGCTCAAAGTAGAGCTGCTGTTAGCTCAAAGTAGAGCTGCGGTTAGCTCAAAGTAGAGCTGCTGTTAGCTCAAAGTAGAGCTGCTGTTAGCTCAAAGTAGAGCTGCGGTTAGCTCAAAGTAGAGCTGCTGTTAGCTCAAAGTAGAGCTGCTGTTAGCTCAAAGTAGAGCTGCTGTTAGCTCAACGTAGAGGTG